GCGCTACTGGACCAACCCGGCAGCACCCCAGCTGCTCTGCCCCAGGCGTCCTGATTCAGCCGCTGCTGGTCAGTTTCAGCAGCGGCTGAATCTGGACGCCAGTTCCGACTTACATACAGATTCAACTTAAGAACAAACCTACAGTCCCTATCTTGGACGTAACCCGGGGACTGCCTGTATGCTTGTATTTGTTCTGAATGATGCTACTTAGAATTGTTTGTTTGGAAGAAAAAAGATTGAGAAATAAATACAATTTCTCATATTCCTACATACTATCTTCATTGTCTATTCACCTGATTAGGTTAAGAAGAATTTGTATCTGTATGTTGGTATAGTGGTTATATATTTCATGGCTTGCGAACAGCAAAATGGGCCTGGGCTTCTTTTCAGGCCTGCATGGATTGCTAAAATGTAATATTAGGAATCCAAATATAAGTGATTTAATTCCAAGGCCAGAAGGGATCATTGTCATCATCTAGTCTGACCACCTGGGTAAGAGGCCATAGAACTTCTTCAATATAATTCTTAGAGCATATCTTTTAGAAAAAATCCATCTTGAGTTTAAAAATTGTTAGTGATGTGGAATTCAGTTCCACCGTTGGTTAGTTTCAGTGGTTAAAAAGTCTATGTAGCTGTATTATTCTGTACATTTAAAAACAAGTCTGTTAAACTAAATTGTTTGATCTCCTTTAGTCCATCATTTTTCTTATACCCCAATCATTCTCATGGTTCTCTTCTGAATCCTCTTCGATTTATCAACATCTTTCTTGAGTTTTAGGCAGCAGAAGTGAATGGAGTATTGAAGCAGCAGTTACACTAGTGCCAAATACGGAGAGAGAATAATTTTTACTATTACCTGAGACTCCTCTGCTTATGCATACAGGGATTGCATTAGCTTTTTTGGCCAGAGCATTGTGATGGAGGCTCATCAGTAGTTGATGATGCACTACAACCCCCAGCCTTTTTCGGAGTCACTGCTTCCCATGATAAAATCCCCCATTCCATAAGCATGGCCTATATTTTTAGTTCCTAGGTATATATGTTTACATGAAGCTATAATGAAACAATCTTGCTTGCATCCATTTTACAAGCAATCCAGATTGCTTAGTATCAGTGAGCTGTCTTGTTCATTATTTACCACTCCCACAATATATCATCTGCAAGCTTTATTAGTAGTAGTTTTGTGTTTTCTTCCAGATAATTAATAAAAATATTCAAATACCATATGGCTAAGAGCATCCCTGCAGGGCTCCATTAGAAACACACCTGTTCAATGATGATTCCCATTTACAATTATTTTTTGAGATCTATCAGCCACTTTTAACCCATTTATTGTGTGACATTAATTTTACATATAAAGTTTTTAATC